GTTGTCTGAGGTCAGTTTGAAGTGTCAAGGGAAAGAAAAAAACACACCAAGATGCAACAGCCTTACAAAAACGTTTTTAGAAGCTGTCTGAAATTTAAGACCACCGAACATTAAAAAGAGCTGTTAGAAAAAAGTGGATTAAATCTGATTTAGTGAAGCAGATATGACGACTCGGTTGAGACAGACATGGTATTGTCTAAACCAAACTCCCCCCAGTAAATGTCAACTGCTGAAGTTACAACCGTAATCAAAAGTTTTTTTTTTACTTTATGTACCCTACACACAGACTGAGTCCCTTGTTCTGTTGATATTTAACAGCCTTGTAAACAAACTCTGGTCTGTGCTTTCACATTGTGGCATTTATTTGGGTCTAATGTGCTTTGAGTGTGAAGCCATCTGAGTGAAAACTTCGCCTGAAGCTAAAACAAGTGCTGGATTCGTGATTGGCTCACATTTTTTATTTGTAAGCCATTATTGAATTTATTTCAGTTATTATTAATCAATCAAACCAACTATTCAAAATGTGTATTCACAAGCACACAGGCAGATCTATAGAGACACACAGAGTGTGATGGACAGAGCAGAAACAGAGGATGAGAGGCGACACGCTGGGTGGCGACTCGACTGCAGCAGAAGGAACTGTTCCACCCTGCTGCCATTGAATGTTCACTTCCTGTTTGTATTGACCGGGCCCACGCTGGTCTGGTCCATTCACAATGGTGGCAGCAATGGAGGTCAACTAGCCGGCACTGAAGCAGAGGAAATGACTGCAATTATGGCCCACGGGCCTTTCTCAGTTTCTCCTATTACGTTTGACGGATGTTTCAAACACCGGAGGAGCATCCGAGTCCAAAATGAATTTTCACACTCTCCTGCCAAACCAGGAGTAATTGTTCCAGTTAAATCATTTTATATGCCCTGGAGCTGCAACGATTAGTTGATTAATTGATTAGTTGATTGCCAGAAAATTAACTGGTATCTTGTTAATATATAATTAATCTGTTATATTATTGTATTGTTATATATTTTAAAGCAAAAATGCCAAATATTGTTTTTCTTTGTTTTACCATTGTAAACTGAACATCTATGTCTGTTTGTCCAATAAAACAAGACATCTGGTATCATCACCGAGGATTCTGGGAAAACGTAATTTACATTTTTCAATATTTTCTTAAATTTTTGAAGGTTAATCAAAAATACTAATTTGTGTATTAATCAATGATGAAAACAAACATTTGTTGCAGCCGTTACACTCCTTATGTTCTTGCATTTTCAGAAACAGGAAACAGGAACTGTTCATTATTGATGATTGTGAGAAAACAATACATAGTCGCCATGCCAACAGCAGTTTTGTGAAAACTGAATATCTCATAGATCAAATCCGTTGAAAGCTTGTTCCCCAATAAAAGATGTAACTCTGCAAAGGTTAATGTCTTCAGGGTCAATAAAAGATGAGTCAATCTGACAGACATGGGAAAATATCACCATTTTAAGATTAAAAGTACGTTCAAATACCAATATCGAGGAACCAACGTGCTAACGAGCTCAGCTCCACTGTCAGGTGTGATTTTCACGTTTGTCTGAAGAACTGTTTGTGAAAATTCCACTTTTTAAAAACAAATTACATAAGCTCCAAAATGCTCAGCAGAAACAGAAACAGTCTTTCTTCTCTGAGCTGCTAAAAGCAAGTTGGGTACTTTCAACTTGTTTTTTGGGTATGCTGATCCTCATGTTGTCCATTTGGTGTTCTTAAAACAACCGCGGCCATGTGTCAACGAAAATGTTATTACACAACTGCTTCAACCGGCAGCCTCTTGGATACAGTGACGTTTAAATCTCACCGTCTCAAAAAGTTGTCAGTCAGTTTACCAAGTGATCATTACTGACAACTTTCACCAGGATGTTTCCCACGGTGGAAACTAATCATAACTTAATTTTTACAACTTGTCCTGAATTATATGATCTTGGCAATTAACAACTAAACAATGAAGGAAAGAGTATTCAGATCCTTTACTTAAGTAAAATGTGACAAGAAGCCACGACCACCAGTTTAATCTTTAATATTGTGCTATATTTTATAAGTGCATCATGTGTTTTCATAATCTGCAAAGTAACTATTAACTATAGCTGTTAAAGGGGTTATTTGTATGTTTTCTCTGCTGCTGAATGTGGTTTTCTTGCCGGCAGCGGGGGACGATTGTGGCTTGACAAGAGCTTCAGTCATCCTTGCACTTACAAGATAAGAGGTTATAATACACCCTCTTAGCAGCGCTACGTCTTCAGGGCGCATTGGAGGCTACAGTGACTCAGTATCGGAAAGTGACGAGGCAGGCCTGGGCTAGTTGGTTAGCATGCTAACTTCAGCAGAAGAAAAGATGTGATAGAGACAACAGTTAACATTGGTGTTGCTTTCCACCTCTGCAGACGGCTCTCAGTGAGTAAAGGAATGAAGTTTGATGCTGAACTCGCAACGATTCTTCTAGACTGGTGAGTAAACAGCTGCTAATGCTAATGTTAGCTATGTAGCACAAGCTAAATTTACAAATAGCTCCATTAAATAAATGTGTATGAGTAAAATTTGTAAAAACTACAATATTTCCCCCTGAAATGCCTAAAAAAATGGTACAATACTGAATATAATATAAACTGAATATAAACAATAATAATACAATACAATTCTTTCCATAACTGCTACTAAATCTGTCTACAAAGTGCCACGGTTTCTCAGTAAACATCACACCCAGCTTTATAGGTCAGATTTAGAAACATACACATCAAAATGCAAAGAGCAGGACCAAATTCCAGGCATCCTGTTGGGGAACCAACCAAGAAACCTGACCGCCCGACCACTGAAGTCTTACTGAGCGAATCACTGTATCAGTCCTGCAGTCTGCTTTTCTCTACTGACCTCCTTATAGAAACATGGGGCTTAGAAGTAAGACGAAATTATCAGAGTAAAGCTAAAACAAATCACATTTCCGCAGTGAAACGGATAGGAAGTAAAAGGTTAAATGCCGATAAACTTGAAACACTTTTCCCTGACCGTCTAACGCAGCACTCAGTCAGTCCAGACATGTAAGACAGGGAAGCGAGATGCAGCACCGACACCCAACAAACAGAGGGTCTTTTCTGGTGACAAGTTAAAAATCGATTTGGCTCGACCTCACAGCTTCTCCCCGAGGGGGCAGCCTCGCAGCTTCACTGTAGCGGGGAGGATTTCTCCGCAGTGCTGTGCATGGGCTTGAGCGGAGCATTCTTCACATGCCGAGCTCCATCACAGGGCCCCGTCCTCGAGCCCTTTAACCACTGATGTGCCAGATCTAAACTGGACCAGCTGCTGCATTTTGCGATGACATGCTGTGATTTAATTATTTGGCTGAGTTGCTCCTGAAACCTTCCTCATCATCTTCACTAAGAGAAGAAGCTGAATAATATGACTGAAAAGGCAATATGAGTGTTTGGGGGTTTTTTTGGCAGCTGCTCAGACAAAACATGCAGCAACTAGTGTGACAATGTCACTGATGCAAAAACTACAGACTTCCTCATTCATTTTCAGTGAATCCTCTACCAGGATAAACCTTTATGTGGAGGCACAGCATTTAATAATCTTTCAAACTGGACTTTCTGGTTCACATTTCATCTTCTAACAGTCACAAACATACACCAATTCAACTGAGTGCCCTCAGCTTCACCCCTGATGCAACAACAACACTTGTTGTCGCTATACACACAACTCTGTAACAGATGCGATGAACTGTAGTAGCCCACTTACATAACTTCAGTGTTTGACATAAAGTCTGATTTTTGCAACATGTGCCAAAACAAAGGTAACTCCCTGCAGGTGTATCTTTCAAAAGGGAGATGGGAGATGCATAAAATGGTTTGGAGATATAATGATGTGAGGTCAGCTCTTCTTAAACTCAACGGAAGTGACCCCTGATTAACAGGAGCCACATGACTCCTTCACTCAGAGCTTTTCTGAGGCTGGAGTGTAAAGAAACACTCTTCCCTCCTCGCTCTTCTCCAGAGACGTCCGATGGTGCATTTGCATTCCTCGACTGGGACAGACGGAGTAAAACTCCAAGCAGCCCGGGTTGGGAAATCCACCTGATATTTCAACATTTCAGCGCTCGGCAGCCTGCGTTACGTAATTGCAGCACTGTACACTTGGCGAGGAACCCTTGTATTGTATTGCATCTCAGAGCGTATGGCACTCTTGACTGCTTTCATTAGAAAATTCCTGACTGAAGGAGGCAGAGCGGCTTCGAATGTCTGAGTCAAGTGGCTTTTACAGCAACAGAATAACACTTGCACAGAAACACAAAATACTAAAATATTCACACACTGTACGAACACAAACTGCAACACATCCTCTCTCTCTCTCTCTTCTCGTAAACGTCTCACACATCATGGCACTGAAAAATCACAATAGTAACTTATTCTAATCAGTTATGATCCCTAAATGTTGCAATTAAATGTCATCCATTAAAACACTGCCAGATGTCTCAGCTGCTCCCTGTAATTCTAGTTGTGAAAAACATAAAAATATAAAAATTTGATTATTATGAGAACGTTTATTCAATCCATTTTTCACTTTTATGAGGACACTTTCATTAATTTACATTTGTGTCCAATTAAGTTGTATTTTAGTTTAAGAAATAAACTGCCTGTTAAATACAAGCAGCTTTATCTTTTTTTTTGGATCTACCAAAATTTTTTCAAGACATTGTAAATTTTCTTTCAACTGAAAAGTGTTTACTGAAAATATCCAGTTGGGTTTTTGTTTTTGTGGCTCATCCAGTTAAAAAGTCTGTTAATCTAATATTACCTTAAAGCAGTCTCAAAGACTGATTTACAACCTTCACTGCAAAGCACCGAAACAGATATTAAGGTGAGCGTGTTCTCATGCCCACGACAGGACCACACACTCCTTCAACAACCAAACACCCACACACACACACACTTCGTTCCTCCTCTCTCTCTCTCTCTCTTTGGCTCACCTGGTCACAGCCGGCGTTGACCAGCTCCTGCAGCATCTGCCGGTTCACCTCCCCGGCGCCGGCAGGGTGTCCCGACCCGGACGATGGACCCGACTCGTTGGCAAAGGGCATGAGTGACTTGCGGATTTCCCGCAGGGCATTCTGGTAGTTGTTGAACTTCTGCGGGGGTCGGAGCTGCTGCTGTCGGCTGGCCGTGTCCTTCCCGCTCTTGCAGTCGGCCCCTCTGCCGCCGTCGGTGCGGGAGCTGCCTCCGTGCAGAGCCTGGCTCACCAGCTTGGCCGGCTGCTTCAGGCCCTCCTTGATCTCCTGAAGCCTCTGGCGCGTGTTGCCCACGTACGGGGCAGCCGGGAAAGTCTTTGGCCTCATGGCCTCAGTGCCCAAGGCCAGGCACCTACTCTAAAAGGGAAACACACACGCCCTCACACACACACACGCGCACACACACACAAACTGGCACTCACTCCCCTGTTCCCTCCAAAAGATCCCTTTCAAGCTGGCTGACCTAAATAGATAAAGAGTCTCCCGCAGCAGATTGGAGGCACAGATTTGGGCGTCCTCCTGTGCTTCCCTTATGTGTTTGTGTCTCTCTTTGTGTTTCCGATTCCTGCTGGTGCTGGTGGGGTGGGTGAAGGTGATGTGGGGATACTACAGGCGTTCCATGGTGTGGCTTTCAAGGCTCAGGTTCCAGCTTATTCCAGGAAATGCAGCCAGTCACGAGGGCACCGCGGAGCCAAACCATGATGCTGCCAATCTGCGCCTGTGGAGGGAAATGATGCAGTCAGAGCATGAAGACTGTGGTCACACATAGTGTTGATGTTGTTCTTATTTTCTAAAATTAAAGCAAACACTGGGCAGTTTACGTCATAAGCACTTTTAACTGAAAAGACCAAACATGTAGAAGTGATTTATAAATGACAACAGCTCATCAGAAAGGACAAAAAAACACAAAGTGCCTCAGACGTTCTGCTTTAAAAGACGTGATTGAAATATGTTGGAAATTCAAAGCCACAATTACTACTTTTAAAGCGTAATATGATGTTCACCGTCTTTGGCCACTTTTATGTCAATAAGCATCTCAATGAGGATATATTCACACATCCAAATTTCTTAGATGCAGGTGTGTTGAAAAGAGTTTTAGTCTCTCTGGACTTTCACACTCAACAAGTATTTTTAAACAGTTCTTACATCCATGATGTTAAATAGATAAGGCCTCCGCCCAGATGTGGGACAATTATTCTCCTGTGGGAGTGTCTTTCAGCCATTGACACTGATTTTTGTGTGCTGTGTTATATTATATTACACACACACACACACACACACACACACACACACACACACACACACACACACACACACACTCAAAAAAGTGTCTCCCAGAGCCCGAGGTGACGTCTTCAAATGTCTCCTTTTGTCTGATCTAATGAAAAAAATATTCAGTTTGTGACGATATAGTAGAAAAAGTGTAAATCTTCATTCTGGAAATTTTTTGCCTGAAAAATTACTCAATTATTTGATTATCAAAACAATTGCAGCTGAATTTTCCATCGATCAACTAATAGATAAATCGACACTCTGCAGGTTTCCTGTGACACCTGACATGTTATTCCAGTCATGTCTATTCCAGTCTGATATCATGATTTTTTACCAATATCTCTGTAATTGTGTAAAATGTGTAAAATGTGTAAAACGACAAAAACATCACGTGGGGCCGGTCCGAGTATAACCTGGAAGCCTGGGAGTCGGATTCAGTTCCCCATCAGCACCCCATCAATGCATAGCTGCGGTTGCACAAGTCGGCCCCTGTCACTGCATACTTCTGCTACGTGGTCATCGGTAAACACCCCTGTGCAGAGCGCTGAGCTCCAACGTGGGGTCAAAACAAGTCAGGAGCCCTCCCTGCCTCAGCCCCTCTCTGCCTGTGATGCTCCCCTGTGATCAGACATTTAACACCATTTGAAATTCTTATCTGGAGGAGCATACTCCGCATTCTGCCACAGCAGCGTTACTCCTCCGGGGCAGATGGGATGACGTGTGGAACAAAATGCACATGTTCCTGTCAGAAGCTTCACGTGCGGGCCGACAATCCAACGTGAAGCATTTACAGTACATCTGGGGAGACGCCATGAGATGACGGGTGTTTGGACGGCTTTTGTTGCACTGAACAGAAGAGGACGAGAGGACACGGAGCGACGAGATTGAGGATAACAAGCATGAAATCTGCAACAAACACAGACTGTGGCACAAGTTGTGTTTGGCTCTAACTGGGAATCCAAAGCTCCCGCGATGATATCAGTGTTTTCGTGCTGAGGCTGCTGATAGCTGATATTCTGTATCTGCAAACTTTACCTATTTTTACACTTAAAAAATGAGAAAGATTCAGTGTTTTCCACAGGAATGGATGGAAAAGTCTCTGAAAAATAATAATGTCGACCATGCTGGGACAGTCAAACTCCCCAATGGTACAATTCACGCCTCCTCATTATTGATGCGTGGAACGCTGCCAAAGCTCTGCGCAGAGCAAGAGGGGAGATGCACCGAAAGCTCAAATTTGTTGAACTTTGACCTGAGCTGTGCCCACTGTTTCAACTGAAAGATGGACCAAAAACTACTTGTGTATCTGAATTTCTAGAGCTCTACAATAACAACATTAGCATTGTAGATGAGGTGGCACCGTTGATCTCATATAGATGTCTGATTAACAGACTATGTGTTTGCTGTGTTTATTGAGAGACAAAATGGAGAATATGTTTCTAAATTAATGAGCTTGAATACAATTGAGAAAAACCAAACCTCATTGGACTTCCCAGGTGATTAAGGGAGGGGATATTACATTTTTGCATTCCCTATTTACATTTACTGGTTTGTTTAGGTTCCACTCACTCTCACTTTCCAAGCTAAGCGACACGTCTTGACAGAGGAGTTGGCTTCCTGTCCAACTGAGCGGCTCACAGGCTTCAAATATCTTTCAAAGAGATTTCCGTTTGGCTGGCAGGTGATGTCTGGTCTCAAGATACCAATCTGGTTTGTTACCATCATGGAAAAACTGTCAGATAAAATCCCATTCTGGCAGGTTTCAACTTGGCTGTGGTTTTAAAATCTTGTCTGCTATTCCAACAATTTAGGTAAAGCAATCAAACCTTTAATTGTTCTGACTGTATTTCAAAAGGTCTGACTGGCAGGTGGATTACTAAAAGAAGCTCACCTGATTAATTGGTCCACGTTTATCCTGACACATTCAAGTTATTGATGAGTTGAAGCATTTTTCTCCAGCAGATCTACTATTCTATATCTATGGACACCTTTCATGCTTATACCACTCCCACAGGACGTAAAGAAAAACTGTGTTTAGTTGTTTTAAAATGTGTTTGTAGTTCATTTAAAGTCATGGCTGCGTCCGTTTCACCAGTAAGAGTTTGGGCTAACTGTTAGAAACTGCAGGAGGTAATGTGAAGGTTCGTCTCAATCATTAAGGTGGTACAATATGAGAGTCAATCAAAACTCTACTCCAGTGATTTCTCCAGATGTTGTGAGCAATCCCTATAGTAATTTGAGTTGAATTTGTTCATACTGAAAGAGTAATGATGCTTAACTCATCAGTATGATTACCCAGGTTATTGTTGATAACTGGTTGTTGACATTATGTGCAGTTAAAATACACAATACTAAGCCTGTGCTATGGAAAACTGGACTGCGTGTAATAAAACCATTGTGCACTCTGTGCCAATCTACACAATGCGACACAATCAATGAAAAGATATGTACAGAGTGAGAGCACTTTGTTGTTGCTGAGAGAACAAGGTCGATAGAGTTCAAGAGAGCTAAGAGTTATTTTCCATCTCCAGGGGTCTGGAAGTAAAAGTCACTCAAAGTTGTTAATGGCGAGTGAAATATAAATCCTTTCAGGGTGGTTTTCTTGGTTAATTTTGGGTGAGTGCGGAAACTATGGAGTATAATTAGAAGAATGAAATGTTTTAGAGTTGCTGCAGCTCTAATTCACACCTCTGACCGGGTTCTTCTTCAAAGCAACAGAGGCTGAGGCTCATGGATATTTGTATTTAGACGCCAAACTGACATAAAAACATGATTTCTCAGAAGCTACGTTGAAATAGTTTAAATTAACGGGTTATAACACAGACATATAATGCATATTGTGCAGGAGACTCCTGTGTGTGTGTTGAGGAACACTGAGGATATTATTAAGAAAAACTTCCAAATAGGAATTTATAGTGGGGAAATTGTGAAGAATTTGCTGTTATGTAACGCCAAACAGTGAAACAACAGCTCATTACAATGAACATGAATTTGATTCTTTTATGAGATTTCACATACATTTACCATGTTTTTTTTTTTTTAATATTCTCTATATAGCTATTAAAAAAAAGCTACTATCCAATAGATGCAGAGGAAGATTGGGATCATGGCTTTCACCCCAGAGTAGCCAAACATTAGAAGCTGTTGAACTGCACCCCCCTCCCTCCCTCCCTGGCAGCCTCCATCCCTTTGGGCCATTTCTAAGAACGACACAGCACTTACTGTTTGTACAGATAAAACTTTGTATAGACAAAAACAAGTTTTTTTTTTTTTTTTTCCCCTATATTGGTGGGAGGCGGGGTAGGGTGGGGCCAAGCTGCATAAATGTTGCCCCATCTCTGGGATCTCTTGCCTCCATTCCTGCGATGCTTTAGGCGCCGTGTCCGACCAAAGAGCATGCCATTCCACAAGTAACTACAAGTAAACTCATACCACGGTTGAATCATGGGACAGTCTACGCTGACCAAAATAAACCAAAAAAAAAAAACAAAAAAACAAAAACAAGATCTATGGATGATCTGTGTCTGGAAATAGGCTGCAGGAGGGTGTGGAAGCTGAACCAACTTTTTGGAAATTTACCAGAAAAAAAATGGGCAAAGATATGTCTCTGCTGAAAACCACACAGCATACTTAACCCTATTCATCAACACACACCTGAGCCTTGTCTCTACTTTGACCTGACTCTCGACTTAACCTCTGACTCTAAACTGGACAACGCTCAACTGAGAAGTGGGCAGAAACAAGTTTCACAACAACTCGCCGCTATAAAAATTGCACACTGTAGAAAAATCCATCTTTAGTGTGTCATTTCAGTCCGATACCGAGTCTTACAATGTTGATTTCTGCAAATAAGCAAATAGATAATATTTCAAATAATCGCAAAAATATCACCGAAGTCTCTTCAAAAACTCCATGAAATAATTTGACTTTCATGGGAAACAAGTGAAATATTTGTGTCTTCAACAGGTTTTTTCACACATTTTTGTATGAAAACTTGTGAAAACCAATGTGAATCACGTTAACATGCAGTTCCCCAAACGTCCACTACATGTTGTCTCCATCTGCACCGAAGTGGAAGGAAAAAAAAAATCTCTTTGGA